CGCATTGTGGAGTGATCCGCCACGGCTCTGTGCTTATGACCCAGACCTAGGTGATGCAAGTGAGGCATGGCTGGCTGATCAAGTATACAGGGCTACCATCGAAGTCTCGAAGGATTTCCAGTGGACACTGGTTGACATGGATCACGCAAGTAATGATGCCAAACGCGTTCATCGCGAAGAGGTGGACAGGTTCCGTGAGACACTCTCTCGGGAGCTCGACATTGTTAAGTCGCACCACGCGCTCGTCGAGCTAGTTCGCAAGGACAGATATGAATCGGCAGGACTAGCCGAACATTGCAGATGACGCACCTGACATCGAGGCTTGCATGCAATACGTGCTGCAGTCTCAGTCAGACGCACAATTCCGAGGTCAACAGTTCACAGTCGATGCGCTCAGGCATTCGGCGACTGAGAAGATGGCGCTGCACGTGTATGAAGCTGCTGTCTACGCACTACAGGCAGCGCGGAGTGCCACCGCCCCATGACTCGGATGACGAGCGTCGCCCCTCACGTGTGCCAATGGCACGAGGGGATCGGACTCGCCAGCCCGTGGGGACCACCGCACGGGCTGCGCGGTCAATCGGCAGAAAGCGGCCGCATAGTCCTTCGGCGTCACCACCCGCAAGAGTGACAGCGAAACAAGCGGCTGCATTTCCGCCGAACGAGGGTGGCAGGGGCAGTGCGTCTAGCGGCGCCGCTCCGCCCCTTCCAGATGCTACAGGCAAGGGCAAGGGCGGGAAACGACCGAGAGAGCCGTGGAGCGATCGCACGGCCTCACCGCCCGCTGTCTGCCCGTGCCTGTACAGGGACTTCCGCCAAACTGAGTCTGGCGGCGCGGCGTCGTCGTCCTCCCAGCAGCTTCCCGAGGAACCGCGCCGCCCTTGGGCCAGGGGGCACAGCCGAACCCCTACTGACAACGCCTGGAGCGCGTGGAGGGGCATCCCCAGCTGGGGCTGGAGCAAAGGTCCAGGGAAAGACCGCGGGGAGGGCGACTGCGGCAACTGGTCCGATTGCCGCGATGACGACCGGGGCCCGTGGCGCCGCGACAGCGGATGGCGCCGGTAAGCAACAGACGCCTAACGCCAATGGCGTTCTGGAGGCGGTGCCGGCGCATGCGCGCCTAGCTTATCGCTTATCGCCAAAGATTGCGACAAGAAGCGCATTAGGAAGGGCTCGAGGCTGCGGGGGCTTCGCCCCTCCATCAATACCTGCTATCACCGGCCAATGGCCGTGTGATCAATACCACTTGACCTGCGGGCTGCTGGCGGCTGTGAGAGCCTCGCGCCCGCGCGCACTGTAATCCGACGCCGTCGGGAACGAAGAGTCCCGATGGTAGAACGTCGGCCCTGGCCGGCGCTGCGGCCGGGCCGCCGCGGGGAGAGTCGTTACCATGCGCTCCCTGCCGCCGTCGATGTGCGCATATATATATATATATATATATATATACATATATATATATATATATATATATATATATATATATATATATATATATATATATATATATCGGAGGTGAGGGGGCGAGATCGAAGTGGAACGGAGAGCCCCCCTACCAGGACATCGATTTCGGTTTCGTGTTCGTGCGTGCCGTGCGTGCGGGCGAGGGGAAGCTGCGCGGGCGGGCGAGAGGAAAGTCTTCTGTGGCTGGGGCGCGGCCGGACCAAATGATTCTCCGCCGGGCGGCCGGTGGCGCGCGGTGCCCCGCCGGTGCCCCGCCGGTGTCCCGTGTGGCTGAGGCGCGGCCGGACCAAATGTCTCCCTTCCGGGCGGCCGGTGGCCCGCGGTGTCCCGCCGGTGTCCCGCGGTGTCCCGCGGTGTCCCGCGGTGCCCCGCGGTGTCCCGCCGGTGTCCCGCGGTGTCCCGCGATGATGATGATGATGATGACGATGTTGATGCTGATGATGATGATGATGATGATGATGATGATCATGATGGTGATGCTGATGATGATGATGCTGATGATGATGAGGGCGATGATGATGATGATGATGATAGTGATGATCGTGTGAGATCGAGTGTGAGACAGATCGAGTGATATCGATTGTGAGATCGATTGTGAGATCGATAGAGGGAGATCGATCGACGAGACCGATACTGAGATCGATCGTTAGATCGATAGTGAGACCGATCGAGTGAGACGTTGGTTCCTCCCCCCCCGAACCTCCTTATCACCCGAAGGGTGGTCGTATAGGTATATATATGTAACCACATACGCATACACATGCTTGGCTGTCTGCAGCTATTCGTGGTTCGGAGAGGAAAAAGGCCCGCGCCAGCCCCCGCGCGCGCGTGCTCATACTGTATACTTTCCTTACCCAAAGCTTAACGGGATACACATATCCTTTTACATTCTACGATGTCCATTGACCCGCTAGCATGGGCCCCAACAGTGAGAACAACCTTGACGATATTGGCCTGTTTGGGCCGAAGTTGGGTAAAGATTGGGGAAGGAGGAGGAGGAGGAGGAGGGGGAGGAGGAGGAGGAGGAGGAGGAGGAAGAGGAGGAGGAGGAGGAGGAGGAGGAGGAGGAGGAGGAGGAGGGCGAAGGAGGGGAGGGGGAGCGGGACCCAGACCTCTTCGCGAAGGGGGGGGGGGGAGGGGAGGGGAGGAGGGCGAAGGAGGAGGAGGGCGAAGGAGGGGAGGGCTTAGGCCTCTCCGTGGCCGGGGTGCTCTCCAGGGGTGGCCCTCGGACCCGACCTCGGGGGCCCCATCGACCGCCTCGGCGGGTGAGGCCCAGGCGATGGTTTGGGGGCTTTCCATCCGGGAGGGTCGATGGCGGGTGGGGGGAGGCCCTTTTGCGCCATCCCACGGCTGGGGACTGGTGGCCCCGTCTGTGCCCCGCCGTGCCGGCCGCCGCCTCCCCAGCTTCTTATATCTCGTTGCGCTCGCCGCTGCCGGCGGCATCATTACCTCCAGCCTCCCTGGCCAGAGCAACTACCAGGTTCTGCTCGGCTGCAAGCGCGAAGCAGCTGAGCGGCCGCCGCCTCCCACCTCGGCCCATCGTGTGCACTCGCCACCTGTCGCTGCCTGGCCTACCTCACTCTTTTTGTTCCTTTTCCTTCCAGGTTAGTTGTTTTCGCGCACGTCAAGCGGCAAGCCACACGTTTTACGCCCAGCGTTCACCTACCACTCGCCGTGGGTGGGTGGGGGGAACTCAACCACTACACGGGCTACTTCCGCAGGAAGGCGCAGACATCCCCTTTGCTGGTGGGCATCCCAGTTTTGCCTTCAGTCCCGATCTCGGGTGCCCTTCAACCGCTTCGGCGGTTGAGGGCCGCCAAGCGGTGATTGGTGGCCGCCCCGCCGGGATGTTGTATGGTTTGAAGGTGGAGGGGGAGGGGGGGCCTGCGCCATCCCACTTGTGGCGAGCGTGGCTCCGTCTACGCCGGCGCACCAGCCGTCGGCCCCCGACATCCTTGATTCATTTCACTCACACTCGCCGCTGCCAGCATCAGTATCTTCAACGCCCCTGTCCAGCGCAGCATTCATCCAGCCGCAGACGCGCAGCGGTTGAGCGGCGGCCGCCGCCCGCCACCGCCCATCCCGTGCCCCCGCAACGTTGCTTTGGCACGCTTCAAGCAGCAAACCACACGTTTTACGCCCAACCCGCACCTGCCACTCGCCGTAATTATGGACGGGGGTGGCGCACTAATGGGATCGGTGGCGGGTGGGCAGAACTCGACCACTGCACGGGCCACCCCCGAAGGAAGGCACAGACCTCCCTGTGGCCCGTGGGCATCCCAGGGTTGCCCTCAGCCCCGACACCGGGCGCAATTCAGCCTCGTCGGCGGGAGAGGGTCCCCGGGCGGTGACCTTCGCGGGCCTTGGAAACGACAGGGCCGTTTTCTTACTGGCTACGTTTTACCGTTTTTGCCGGTCCCGTCGCGGTTTTTGTAACCGGCTCAGTCGCCGTTGTTTTGCTGGTTCCGTGAGCGCAGCATTCGGGACGAACCCTGCCGCAAGCGCGAAGCGGTTGAGTGGCTGCCGCATCCCACCACTTTCTGCGTTGCTTAACCTACGCCGCCCTCCCTTACCACTTCCTCCAAGATTGGGCGATTTCCCCTGTCGTCGACTGTCCTTCGTTCCTCCCTCGTCCTCCTCCCCCACCAGCGTGCAGGGAACGTAGATGCCCGTGCCCCGCCCCTGGAGGGCCTCTGGGTTCGCTTGTTGATTGCGAAGGCCTTACGGCGGGCACCGCCGACCCTGAAGACGACGAAGATGAAAACGAGGGTGATGAGGAGCAGGAGGAGGAGGAGGAGGAGCAAGAGGAGGAGCAAGAGGAGGGGAGCAAGGGGGGGGAGGAGGAGGAGGAGGAGGAGGAGGAGGAGGAGGAGGGGAGGAGGAGGAGGAGGAGGAGGAGGAGGAGGAGGAGGAGGAGCATCGCTTGTTTATTTTTGCGCTACAGCTGGCCCTAGTTTGATCCTCCCCCACGCGGGCCCTGGGGTGGAGGAGGAGGAGGAGGAAGGAGAGGAGGAGGAGGAGGAGGAGGAGGCGGAGGAAAGGAGGAGGATGAGAGGAGGAGGAGGAGGGTGGAGGGGAGGAGGAGGAGGAGGGGGAAGGAGGAGGAGAGGAGGGGGGGAGGGGAGGGGGAGGAGGAGGAGGAGGAGGAGGAGGAGGGAGGAGGAGGAGGAGGAGGAGGAGAATCGGGGGAGAGGAGGAGGAGAGGAGGAGGAGAGGAGGAAGAGGAGGAGGAGGGAGGAGGGGGAGGAGAATCGGGAGGAGGGAGAGGAGGAGAGGAGGAGGAGGAGAGGAAGAGGAGAGGAGGAGGAGGAAAGAGGAGGAGGAGGGGGAGAATCGGGGCGATTGGGAAAGGGAGGGTGGGGGGCGCCACGCAGAGACGGCACGCCTCGCTGACCCCACGCTCACCGATGCCACCCCCCCTCCTTTCTCATCCCCTCCTCCTGTCTCCTTCCTCTTTTCCTTCCTCCCACTGTCCTCGTCCCTACCTTTTTGTTCCTTCCCCTACGCTCCCGCCCCCTTCCCCCCCCCCCCCGCACCAGCGCTCGCCAAATGGCGGAAGCGGCCGAGGGGGCCAGGCAACGAGCGCTCCGCGAAGATTATGGCACAGAGGCGGGGCGTCATCTCTCTCTCTCTCTATCTCTCTCTCTCTCTCTCTCTCTCTCTCCCGCTCTCTCTCTCTCTCTCTCTCTATCTATCTGTATATATATATATATATATATATATATATATATATTCATATATCTCAATATCCCTCGCTCCTTATGTCTCTCTCTCTCTCGCGCTCCCTCTGTATCCCTTTCTCTCTGGTTGTGTCTCTCTCTCTCTCTCTTTTTCTGTCTCTCTCTCTCTCTCTCTTACACGCTCCCTGTCCCTTTCTACGGTTTTCTTTCTCGGGGGAGAAGAGGGAGTGATAGGAGGAGGAACAAAAAGAGGGAGGAGACCAAGAAGAGAGAGGAACAGGAGATGAAGGAGGCGGCGTCGGACTCATAGTCGCAGGTGGAGGTGCAGGACGAGGGGCAAGGGATGCACGGAGCGAAGCGGGCGATACTTTTTGATGCAGACCTCGGAGGAGGCAAGGCGAGCCTCGTGAGGTAGGCCGGTCATTCACCCCTCCCCCTCCCCCCCCAGCTCCTCTTTACGCTCCTCGCTCCTCCTCCTCCTCCTCCTCCTCCTCCTCCTCCTCCTCCTCAGCAACGGGTACGTCGGCCCCCTCCTCCTCCTCCGCCATGGACAGGTGGCCTCCCTTCCCTCCCACTTCCCCTTAAAACGGAAAGAGGGCCCCCATGGTGGTCCCGGGGGGGCCCGCGTCCTCTTCCCGCGGCGCGCCCGCTGGCGCACGGAGGGGCGGCGTGGAGATGGGAACGCGCGGAGGCGCGTTGCGGCTTCGAACAATGCAGGAGGAGGACGCGGGCTAGATATGGCTTCGAGGGAGACAAAGCTGGAAACGTTGGATGATGCGGAGGGGTACCAGTAGCTGAATGACCAGAGTGCTCACCGCCTTGTGCTTTTCTGGCGTACGGCCATTACAATACATTGCATCCATGGATGCGGTTGCGAAGTCGGTGCATCTGACACAAAGATCTAGCAATATTCCGCATGTAAGCAATAGGAGTTGCCCAATTCTTCGCGTTTTCGAGTTGGCATTGTCGGAGGCCCAGAGGTTGACACGATCACCAATATCGGCGGTGGGTTTCCACCGAGGGATGGCGATCCCGATCTCGGCGATGGTGGTAATACTCGGGCTCCCGAGATGGCCGAAAGATTTCCAAAAACACCCAAATCTGGGATCATCTTCGACCCATGGAGGCAAACCCCTGTGTGGGTGTTGGCGCCCATTTCCAAGCCTCCAACGTTGGGCTGTTTGCACAGAGCCCGGTGTGCGATACACGCACATGCAGTTGTCATCATGTTTGGCCGATCTTCGCCATTGACATGCAGTACTTGCAGCGGTGTTATTGCGGCAGCATTGGACGAGCAGCATTTGAATCGCAGCAGTACTTGCAGCGGTGTTATTCCCACATGAGCGAGCCTGGCTCTACCCTCCCATACGTTCAATGGCCCAGGTGCCTGCGGCAAGCCCCGCCCACGGCACCTGCACAACATTTGAAACACTCAGGACGGCTCTGCTGGATTCTTCGGACAGGTTCGGTGCCAACATCGAGTGGCAGGCTGAGCAGCTCCACTCATGTTGTAATATGACCCGGCCGTGATGATGCACGTCTGCAGCTGGGGAAGGCCGATTTTGTCATCCCCTGCTGCGCAGCACGATGGCTGCCATCACCACGAGGTCGGGCGGCACTGCGGGCATCCGAGGAACGGCGCTGAGCGGCACGCTGGCGAGTGGCACGGGCAGGGCGACGCATTCCGCGTCTCTGGAACACAGCGCCGCGCGAGTTGGCACTGGCTGGACCCGCGGCGCGGCGCCGAGGGGCACGTCGACGAAGAGCAGCAGCGCGACTCCGACTTTTACGAGTGAGCTGGGCGGGTGCGCGAGCGGCCCGCCACCGAGCGGACACTGAGGGGCCAGCGGTGCAGCTGAGTTGGAAGCAGCATTATTTGGATACGCTCAAGCATGACGTGTACAGCGGTGAGCAGCTCGTGGACGCTGCCGCATCGTCGGCACGGGCCGCGCGACGGCCACGAGAACCGACACATCCATCACAGGACCGGCTTGACGAGCATCAGAGGAGACGGACCAGCGGCATTATGTCGACGACGACCCCTCAACGGGCGACTCCCGAGCATCACCCATTACAGTGTTCTGCAATGGCGACCATGGAGACAAACACCACGTCGTTATCAAGCACCACGGAATTGAGCAACCCCATGGCATCCACCGCATCAGTGTTGAGCGCCACGTCGGTAAGCGAAGCTACCGAAACGAGACTCCCACTGGTCCCCTTCCCTATCATTGAGTCGAGCACCGCGCTGCTACACAGCACAATGGAATTGTGCTCCACCGAGCTGTCTACACGACGGAGTCGAGCACCTCGTCAGTATCCGGCACAACGGAATCGAGCGATGCTACGATATCCATCACGACGGAGCCGGGCGCCATCTCGTCATCCAGCATTAGTGCTAGGGGGATCGAGCGCCACGACACTGTCCATCACGAAGCGCTCCGCACAACAACGTTCAGCATGCGGGCTCGTGCAAGAGCCCTGGAGGCTGATCGTGGCCGTTGGCGCTCGCACCTATGATCGAGCACGCTTTAGGCTGGTAGAGGCCTGAGCCCGCTCGCTGCCGAGGCCAGATGCGCTTCTATCTGCCATCTGGTCAGCGCGGCATCGAGTACGGGTGACCCGGATAGGGTGGAGGGGTTGGCGCTTTTTGCTTCTCGATATCCAGAGGGGGATCAATCGTGGGCTGCTCCAGTCCGTTCACGCTGACACCAGCGACTTGACACTTGGCAGGCAGCGAGTTCTGCCGGCTTCGCAAGGGGGTGGCACGAGGTAGAGAGCACCAAGTCTTGCTATGAGACCCCGTGGTCTTCCGCGTGTCTTCAATCTCGGCTTCTACTTCCAGGAGGTCAAGGGCCCCCTCGGTGCTGCAATTTTCGAAACCGAAAATATTCGCAGAGTCCAGCACAGTCGCCGCCCATTGAGTCCAGTTTTATCCTGCGCGTCACCTGCCCAAACTTGGTTCTCTTGCACAGCTGTGCTCTAGAGCTCGGACATCTTTATTTTCGTCGTTCGTCGTGTCGTTCGCCCCCCTCGCCCCCCCCCTGTCCACGCTTCCCAGGGTAGACCCCCTGGGCCACGGAACCTTTTATTTTCGTCGCTC